TTTGACCTTTGAAGATAATGGAGATGTAAAAACCATAGGCGGTGACCCTCTCCCAAATATTTTCAAAGGTTTGCTTACACTTCCTTCTAGAGCCCGGGTATATACATACAGCACATCCAACACAATACAGCGTGAACATCTACTAGTCTTCATTTGCACTTAGGGTTAATTAGTTGCTAGGTTCAGAGACCCTAGACTTGCAAGAATTTCCAATAAGGTTACAACTTGTGAAGTTCATGCAGAAGTCCTTCCTCTTACTTTGCACATTTATGTAGACAGTTTTGTTAGGAAACCAGCAAGCAGTTTAATAACTCCAAAGGGCACTGGACCTTAGCTACTTCCCTGCTCGGCACGACGAGGACCGCAGCGACTCTAGCTGCAGTCTTACAGCAAAACACTGCGGCTGGATTTGAGGCACCAGGGAGCAGCTGCACCTCTAGGCAAGCTTACTCAGTTGTGGCCTGAGCTACTGGGGTCCTCCAGAACATCTGGGTGAGAAGTGAACATGTGGATGCAGACGCCTTGGTATATAGACTGGCATCTAGGTAACTAGGTAGGAGTTCCCCCTTTCTTCCCTACATCCAAAGCCTATGTCTAGAGATTTCTGTTTTCAAGTTATTCCTCGGTATCATCAAAACCATGACGTTTTTCTATCTTTCTTTCTTCTATTGTGGTGATTGCAGTAGTAGTCGGAGAAAAGTGGAATTCTCATATTGTAATCAGTCTTTCTTTTTTAATCCCCCATTGAGGATTTTAACCCACTTCTTTAAATTTTGAACCACAAAAATATTTCTTTCCTGCTGCAACTATGAAATTTGCTCTTGCGATTGAAAAAGATAGATTGTGATAATAATACGCTTAAGAATAGGAATTCTTACAAAAGCACTATCTCCCTATCTGCTGGTGGTAGAGATTATTTTAAGTCCTCACTCACACTGGCTTTCCTTTCTGACTTGCTTATATTCTCAGAGTATTAAAATATAGTAGTCAGAAAGCTTGTCTCTGGGAGTCTGCATTGAGTTCTTGTCAGAGGATTCTTTTCTAAATGCACTCTGGTATCATTTGCACACTCACATTGCTTGCCGAAACCTGAGCTTCCCAGGGAAATTAGAGCGGTTAATTTAATATTGTGAACGTTTGGGGGCTTCTCAGCTTATTCACAGGCAGGGGAGGATAAATCAAATTGTGTATTCGGAACAAAGTAGAGGGTAATAAAAGTTGCTTTCAGAGTATAGCCAACTCTCCTCCACCTGCAGCCTGCCTGCACCTCATTGTCACCATCGAAATTTCCCTGTGTTCCTTGTCTCCTTCTCCAGGGCTCTCTTGTTGAGGTCTGTGTGATACAAAGAAAGACAAGCCCTCAGGTGGACTGAGAGGAGACGCTCCATCATTATTCATCATCATACTCAGACAGAGTGGCTCATGGGGTAGTTCTTTCTTCTGTATAGTTTGGACCTAACTAAGCCACACTTTTTTTTTTTTTTTTAAGATTTATTTATTTGTGCATACAGAACTGGGGTACAGGCCAGAGACGTGGAGGGTGAGAGGATTCACCAGAGACAGAGTGGGGAGCAGAGCAGGCAGATCGACAAAGTACACTGCTGAGGGGAGCAGCGGGCGGGTCAGGAGAGGTCTGCCACGCCATGTGGTCACCTCCGGGGCAGGCGGGAATCGAACTCTTGCGGAAGCGGCTTTAGATTCTCAGTGCTGTGCTTTAACCCGCTGCGCCACCAGGGAGGGCCCCTAAGCCACACTTTTAATAGAAAAACTCCTGAAGACATATGTGACCAGCTGTGAAGTGCCTAGGCACCAGGGCGGGTTATTTTGTGTGGTAAATAGGAAGGATATTTGGTAGCAGTTATTCTCAGGGATAAACAAAGTGAGCCCTCGGGCACCCTAAGGCTGCTGAATTCTGTGTGCCTGGCTTGAACATATATCCAAAGCCTCCATCTAGGCCCAGAAGCAAACTGTGAAGTCAAATGTTTCGGTCTTGGCTCCAGAAGGCATCTGCGTGTGCTTTGCAGTGCCCTCCCTATGCCCGCAAAGAAATGTCAGGCTTGCATTTATTTCACCTGTCCACCTCCTTGTTTTAGGACTACCTTGTGTATGTCTGAATTGTAATTTTGGAAGGAAAATGGAACCTTGTCCGCAATCATGTATGTATTTTGTTTTAGAGACCTAGTTTGTTTGCATAAGTATCAGGATTGATTGTAGATAATCAATGTGTTTTTTATGAACACTCTGATGTTCAGTGCCATGACAGTATACTATCTTGGAATAAGGTGACTTATGGCTTGATGGGGCCTTCAGAGGCCTGTTCCCCTGGAGACTGGCATAATACGTGATCGGTAAAGCGTTTTAGTACTGGCTCTTTAACTACATAGTTATCATTGGTTAAAATGAAAAGAGATTATCTTGGTTATAGTAACTGTCTTCTAAGAAAAGCATACTTAAGCATAAATATTTTAAATTTTGGTACATTTCCTATGTTCTAAGATAGTCTATAAAACACATTTGCAAAGGTACCATTATAAAAATTGAGTTTTTCTGATCACTTAAATGACCAGATACCAACCTTTGCCGCTTACTGGAACTGTTTAAACACCGCACAATTGATAGTGTGTTAGACTTGTCTCCTTTAGCCTTTAGATGATCAGGGCCCTCTCTGAGTCTTTGTTCTGTTCCCCCTGCTTCAGTATCCAGCGTGGCAGGACCCTGATGGAACTTTCCTAACTAGTAGGGTTTTTGTTTCTGTTTTTAAGATTCTCTTGCCTGTTTCCCCCATTCTTGTTAAACTTTCTGTACCTTCATTTTTTTCCTCTTCCTTTCTCTGTGTTTCTCTTCTCCCCTGCAGATTGCATCCCTTCCAGATAAAATTCTGTACACTGAGTATATCTCTTTTGGTTTCTGGTGCTCTCAGAAAGAAAAGGAATAGAAAGCACCCCACAAAACCAAAAATAAATAACGTTGCTAGTCAGAACCCTCTGGAAGACCCGTACAAGAGCAGATGTGCCACGAGCTCTTGCCTGGACTTCCTAGTCTGATGATTTAGATGCTTCTCTGTTCAGGCGGGTGGTACTGTTTTTTGCCGAATTCAGCACGTTCATGAAGAACAATTTCTTCTGGCCAAAGCCAACTCCCTGCATTTCTGCTTGGTAAGGGTTGGCGGCCTTGGCGTGGGGCAGTAGTTGTTGATTCAGCGACCCTTAAACTGGTGATAAATCCTAGAAGCTGCCTTCATAGAACTTTTGTAGGGAGTGGGCACCCTCAACACTTGTGAGAAATCCTTAAAGAGCTCATGTTAGGGAAGACTACAGAAGAATCCAGGATGCGGAGCTCCTTGAGCTTCTATATGGGGAGGCACCAGCGACCACTTTGAAGATGAACTGTAAAGCGTATCAGCCTAGAGGGTGTTTGTGCTCCTTGATACACTCGTTTCCTGTTTACACTTTATTCCAAATGTCTAGATCTCCCAGCACCAGCGTCTGTGGGTAGGATTCAATTTCCCTCGTGTTTGATGCAAACGCCATCACTGTAATTGTGCATATTCTGTTCCTGCACATTGACACAATCCTACTTCTATTTTTTTCAGTGATAGCAGTTATTTTAATTTCCACCCCACCTTCCCTTGGGTGCAGTATAAAACCCTCCACGAGGGTAGCTGTGACACATCTTGCACGGGCATAGATGGAGGCAAGTTAGGAATGAAAATTCCAGCACCAGGATACCCTTCCACCTGAGCGGAACTGATTTTTCTGAGCCAATAGGGGAATAAAAGCATCTATAAGGGAGTTTTCCAATGTAGTCTTACTACTTTTAGTCAGCTCCACTCCCCCGACCCCTGCCCAAAACCGTGGTGTGTCCCACACACACAAAATACAATACCCAATCTAGTGCTGATGACCATTTTGTACATAGCACTTTTTTCTAGAAAATCATTTATTATCTATAATATGTGATATTTAAGTTGGGGTGTGGTGTGGTGAATATCCTGACACACATACATATTTTGATCTGGAATTAATGATACCTGTTTTTTCCCCCTCTCCACTAAAATCCCTCAGTCCCCAGCTTAAACATATATTAGTCAAGGCATCATTTAAAAAAAAAAAAAAGGCATTATTTCATGCTCATATTATAGAAAGGGAAATTTAAAAAAAAAAAAAAGTCCTGAAAGAGGTGCATTTAATTCTCCCCAATTTAAATGTAAGAGCTACATCTTTAAGGCAGTAACAATATTCCTTTTTTTCCCCATCAGGAATGCTTTCATCAATGGATTTCTTTAATGTTGATGATGGTTGGTGCAGTTTGAGGGAATCTGTATTTAGTCAGAAAATGCTTCAATAGAATGACCTACCAGATGGGCCCCATAACAAAGCACAGAGGCATCAAACCACCACAGACATTTGGTGCTTAGAATAATAAAAAGACTATAAAATTAGATTAGTTGAGTCTAATTTGGAATTGGTATATTCCCCATGCACCCTCGCTGCTCTTGGGCAGATAAAGCCTTGAGATTTAGCACTGTGTCAGAGCAGGAGACGGCAACTTCCAGTAAAAGGGAGCCGAGGGAGAGGGAGAGAGGAGAAAAAGCATTCTGGGAGGTCGCGGAGGGCAGCGCAGTGACCTCCAATGATTTACAGGCCTTTAGCTTAATGAAATTGTTTCAGTGACATGACGGTAAGAGCTCGTAATGGATTGGATGCCCTAATGTAATGAAATTACTCCCTTCTGCCTAAAAAAAAAAATGCGCAATTAATATTTACTGAGACCTGACAGCCTTTGGTGTGCGCGTCTGTGTAGTTCTCAGACAGTCAGAGAGGAGAGACGGAGCAGCGTGGCAGACAGCCTGGCTCTGCGCGAGCTTCTGGCAGGGACGAGCTGAGCCTGCGAGGGGTGGAGGGACAGGCGCTCCGCGGCCAGGGACACCCAGCCCGGGCCACCCGGCTCCCGGCGCTGCCCCCACTCCGCCTTCACGCTCTCCCCTTGCTTTTCCACAGGCAACTGGACAACAACCACATCAGCTGCATTGAAGATGGAGCCTTCCGAGCACTGCGCGATTTGGAGATCCTGTGAGTTGCTTTTGCGATTGCTGCCTTGTGTGCGTGTGCGGGTGTGTGTGTCCGTGCGAAGAGGAGAGAGGGGGAGTGTGTGTGCAGGGGGGTCCGCGTGGATGCTTTTCTGTGGCTCCTGCTGCAGTGCTATTAAAATTGGGAACTGGGAGATCCCTCTGGCTCACCTTGGCCAAAGTGTTTGCAGACAGCAAAGTGAGATTTCTCACCTCCCACAAACTGGGGTTCCTGCTAATTAAGTCTCAATTGAGTCCTTTCTCCCCCATGCTCCCCGCAGTATTTACTGCTGGGTGAAGCAGATGGATTGGAGTAGCCCGCCCAGCACCTGCCAGCACCTTCTGAGTGAGTCTTCTGGAGTGTGGGCACAAGAGGAGACAGTTTACAGGTCAGGGACATGATAGACAGGATTGCACCAGGGGTTCTGCTGGGATCACCCCCAGTCAGAAAGAGACCTTGGCACAGGACTGGAGGGAATGCCAAACAGCCTGACAGAGTCTAGTTGTTATAGCTCCTGGGGTTTCATATCAGGTTTAAATTCAAACTTTAAGCAGTAACCTTAAAGTGACGGACTGGGGGTAGATGAGACACCTCCCTAAAACCCCTCCCTGTGTACCTTGGCTAGAAAAAAAAATGCATCTCGCTGTCTTTCTGTGTTCTGAATTTTCAAGTGGGTCGAGCTAAGGAAACCTGATTTCCAGGGGGACAGACAGCTGGGAGTCATCTTTGGGTTGTTCAAACTGAAGTTGAATTGTGTAAGGAAACATTTTGATTGTCCTCGCCCAAAATTACACATCTAGCTGCCCCTGATCTGGAACGACCTGGAGAAGAGGGCAGTACAGGCTTGGAGAACTGGGTCAGTGGACGCGTGGTTCCGCCCCGACCTGGCCCCTAACAAGCTGTGTGACCTTGGGCAAGTCTCGTTTGTCCTCCAGAGCTGAATTTTTCCATTTGGAAAATTGAAGAGGGTGGTTTGCAATATCATGGGAGTGACTTCTCCTTCCCAAGTTTTGTAATTGCCTGGGTCTGCAAATAACTCTCAGGGCACAGTTTGATCTAATGAATGAGAATTGGATTTGTCGAACATCCCCATGTAGGTAAAAAATTACATAGTCACCAGTACATGTCTGAATTCTAGAAGAACAAGTAAATGTCACGCAAATAAGTGAGCATATTAAAATGTCCTTTGTGCACAAAAAAGGGGTGGGGGAGTGAAAGTTCTGCCTCCCTTTTCACCTGGTCCCACAGACAGTAGCAAATAATTGGAAAACTCCCCTCCACTCTGTGAGAAGGTGATTCCAAGAATAAAAGAGATTGCTGATACTGTAGTATGCTGGAAATCTGATGAAAATGGAGACATTCCTGGTATGGAAGCAGCAGAACCCACAGCTAGGGAGGTCAGCTTGTCATTCCTAAGATGGATGGTCTCTTCACCTAAACTCTGACCCCAGAACCTGCAACCAATGCGTGTCTGCTAGGGAGAAGCGGCCAACCCAAATTTAGTAGTCCTGGAGTTCTTTCTCAAGAGGCTGGAGCTCAGGAGGAGAGTTTCAGTTCTCTCTGCCCATACAAAAGCATTGTAGAAAGGGCCTCAGGAAGCATCTCACCCTACTCCTATGAAAGATGAGAAGATTCCTTGGGAAGGGACCAGGAAATGGAAGTCACCAGCTGCCGTGAAACAGCTGTGACAACCTGACAGCCTCGTGTTAGTTCTCTCTGCCAGGAGGGGTGTCCCCTTGCAAGAAGCTGTCGGCACAGAAAGGGTTTTATTGGCAGACACTTGGGGGTGGGATTCTGGAGGCTGTGGGACTTTGTCAAAGCTAGTGTACCTATCTTTGATTCCTCAACTTTAAGGGGACTTATGGGTGGCATAGGGTAGTCGCTCCTTAATATTGATTTTCCACCTCCCTACCTTTCCCCCCACCATGCTTTCACCCACCCAGCTTCTGTCCAGAGACCAAAGTGGTGGGCACCTGTCAGATGTTTGCTATTTAAAAAAATAATATGGGTATCCACGTACACCAAGTCTCTCGAACTTGAAGCTTAAAAAAAGTTCTTTTTCCCACCACTGTAGAGCTCACAGATCTGATTAGTTTATCTTCTCAATTCCAAACAAAGCCAGATCAATGGCTTTGTTTAAAAGACGCTCTCATTTGGCTTCGCATGGCTAAGTACTTAAAATTAATCATAATCAGTTATTCCATGGGTTTTTAATTTCCAGCAGAGGCAAATGGCTTTGGAACCATCCATCTTAATAGGGAACCATTCTGAAATTGGCTGGAGCTGACATCTCCATTTAAAGAACCTCCCCTCTCCACCCCCCCCCCGACCTTCCAGATCTCATTCACACATTGACATTTTATAATATCTCTCTGTAATCACAGCTTAGACCCCATAAAGAACCTTGACAATAAAATAATAAACAGTAACCAGGTAAGGGAAATCAGAGATTAACTCAATAAATTCTTGAGAGAGGAGTTCTAAACACCCTGTGTCCAGAGAGATCATCTTGAAGTCTCTAAAAGCTTTCCACAAACTGCAAATTAAAAAGGCAAAATTAGTATTTCAGATATGTTTCTCTCTGACATGGATCACTATGAAGTAGTGGTCACTATGAAGAACTATAATTTTATGGGAAGCACTCTCAGAATTAACTTAAGGAAAGTTGGTGGACATCAAGTGCCAGTAGAAATATTTCACATGGGATCAGCCATCAGTCCATCCTTTCTATGGATGGAAATGCCATAAAATTCCTTTCCACCAGACTGAGGTTGGTTTTACTGGTTGTACAGAATGAAAACCTAGGAAGTTAGTCTGGAACGGAGCCCTGGCAGTGAGGGGAGAGAAACAGGTGCAAGGTTGGAGAATACTGCACTCTACCCACACAGCCTCATTGCTGGCTCATGTCCGGGTGGGATGTCCACACAAAAGATGGTGGACAAAGGAAAGGAGCCAGCACCCTCCCCTTTTCCAGTAGCCAGTAAAGGAAATCAGAAGAAAAAAGTACAATGTAGGTGAAACTTCCCAGGGCTCCCAAGCCTCGGCAGGAGAGGACACTTAGTGTCAGTGATAAATTCTGGCATTGCTTGTACATTTCTGGGTAGCTGCTAACACAGTGCCTTGCATATAGGATCTCTGCATCGTGTGATGTTCTGGGAAGCTGCTGCTGTTGCCACCTTCGTTTTAACAGGAATAGCCTGCTTTAGAGATGCCAGGTCACTGCCACACTAGTCGGCAGCAGGCTGAGTGTGAGCTTGTCGAGAAAGCCGCCTTGCTAACGCTCCCTGCCAGGCTTCTCGTGGCATTGGCTCCCCTGACACATAGCCATTGTGTGCCACGCAGGGTGTCATCTGGCCCTCAGAGCTGAGCTGGTGAGCTAGCTACCCTGGAGGATGTCAGAGCCTCCCACCTGCTTGTGAACCTGGCCCTCCCTTTCCCCCATTAACGGATCCCCACAAAACAGAAAGTAAACCAACTCACAGCGGGAAGAAAATAGCCCTGCTTTTCCACTGACCTACGTTCTAGTTCCAGAGATGATTTGTTCTCACTTCTGGATATCACCAGTTGACATTGGCACTCCAGGGCTTTGGGCTGTGTCCTCCAGACCACTCCATAACATAACCCCCCTTTTCTATATGACCTTTAAGTTCTTAATTGAGGGACCCGAGTCTTCTATAAGTCAGATGGCCCTTCTGTTACCTAATTTTTGGCCCTTCCACCTGTTCTGTACATTTGGTGAATCATATATTCTGCTTTTTTATGTGGTGCTAACACCACGCAGCTAGGACTATGGTTCCCGCTGTGCAGTAAGAAATCCTTCTCAGCACTGCTCTATGACTTTCCAGCCCCTGCCAGCCTTGGTGGAGTGTGGCCAGCACTTCAGCTGTGATACTGACCACCTCCCTGCCCAGCAGGCCAGCCTGGATCTGAAAAAATGTCCAATGCAAACAAAATTAAGAGTATGGATAAATGAGACAAGAAAACCAAGTTAGGAAAATAACTGTTGTTTTCCCAGTAGTATTGTGGGAGAAGAAAAAAGCTTTTCAGGCGGTATCTCCTGACTACACGTAGCCAATCAAAAGTTGATTAAGTTTGCTGTTAAAAATGCCAGACCAGAGATGTCAGGAACACATCCTGGAAATGCTCTCATCTCCCAGTGAGTGTCTGCCCTTGATCGCTGGGGCCAGCTGAGTGCATACAGATGCAACAGGTCTGCAGATAACCAGGGTGTGCTGTTTGGAAAGCCTTGCTCTTGTTTATCTCACTTGCAGCTTTGAAAATTCAGTGACATGAATGCCGGCTGGCTCTGGGGACCGTAGGTTTCCCTGAGATGACCTCGTATCGTTGAGATAAGGCACAGAGAGGTCAAACACTGGGTTGGGACTAGGGTAAAGTCTGTGCCACTAACATTCTGCACCTGGTCCCCTCCTATGTGCCCACTTCCCTTCCCTGTCCTAGTCCCAGCCCTAGACTCGAAGGGCAATGCATGTTGGCAGAAACCAAAGAGTTAGAACCTGTTCTTCAAAGCTCTCACTCTGTGTTCTTTGCCCACTTTGGGGATCCCAAGCAATTAAACTGTTCAGGTGTAACCCCTAGGAAGACTGGAGTGCTTAAGCACAGTTGTCCTTTCAAAACTCAGCATCGTTCTTTTACATTATGTAGGAATTTGGGGAGGGCAAACTTCAGTGGGAGCCAGAACAGAGCTTCAGGTGGCTTGCAGCCTACAGACCACTGTTGCCTCCATAGATGATTTTTTCTCAATCGAGCATTGCATATATTTTGAATTGTGCTGTTTCTCATAAAAATCAGCATTTCCACACAAGATTCCCAGCCTCAGGCTTTTGGCAACCCGAGGCTGCATTGCAGGAATCAAGGGTAGCTGGAAAGTATATGCCTTCTTTAAATGGGGCCTGTGGACTCAACTTTTCCATTGCGGCCCACTCCTGTCAGTTACATGTCAGTTACCTGCTGGCCCAGGACAAACTGTGCTAGCATGGAACTAG